GAAAAAAATAATTATAAGATCCTGTAACTGTGTCTATGACTAAAGTAAACTAAAGAATTGAGTGGGTAAAAGGAATCACACATGGAATCACACATAGAATCATCATGGTTGAAAGGACCCCTGAGACCACCGAGTCCAACCATCAACACAAAAAACCAAATCATACGAACACAAACAACCACACACACTCCACCAAAAATACCCACAAAAAAACCCCACAACCTCAGCCACTAGAGCATGCCCTGAAGTGCCACATCTACACGTTTCTTTAATACTTCCAAGGATGGTGAATCAGTCACCTCCCTCGGCAGGATGTTCCAGTGCCTGACCACTCTTTCAGTACAGAAATTCTTCCTAATATCTAACCTAAACCTCCTCTGCTGCAACTTCAGGCAATTAGGAGCAGTATTTTTATGACATATTTTTGCTGGTATCTTATAGCAAAGGTCTTACAGAAAATTTCAGGGATTCCTGTCAATATCCAACCTCATAAAGCAAACTGCAACTTCTACTTACACTCTGTATCCCACCTTAAATGTATTTAAGAAAAAAAAATATGAATACACCAAGCGAGAACATCTGGGTAGATACATTTGTGGTCTAACATGGATTTTCCTACATATTCACCCTTTAAAAAACAAAACACCAATGTGCCATAAAAAGAGCCACAGCTTATAATTAATGATGCTGGCCTGGAAGTGAAAACTTTGTATGTGAAAAGGCAGAGGGCTGAGCTGACAGGCTATGCACTTACGTGATATGACCACTGATGTAACAGTGCCATCACCACAGAGTATCTGAGGGCCTAACAACAGAAACAGCTGGAGAATAACCAGTAAACTCACATTATCTTGGTAGGATAACCATGTGGACAAAAAACAGGGAAAAAAGTAGTTCAAGATGTCACAAGAGAACTTGAAAGACAATAGTTGCAAAGGATGAACTTCAGAGAAACTTCGGAGAAATGCTAATTCTGTCAAGTCTAAAACAAAAATGAAACTATGGTTGCAGCCTCACACAGGGGTGTGAGATAGCAGGCTGAAGCCCATACAAGATAATAAATTAATCTGAAACTCACACTGTACTCCTACCTAAAGGGCTGAGTAGGAGTAGATGAAGGAAGACTGGCGGCTCATGAAGTCCCATCTACTGTGGGAGTTTAGCTAATTAATAGGGATAAACCAGATCAGAAAACAGAAAGGACTATGGAAAACTAGCTTGGGTTCTTTGAAAGTCAAAGTCTTGCCAACCAGAGCAAAAAAATTCATTCCATTTTCTTCCTCCACACAAACTGCCCCAGTTTTGAAGACGTGTCTAAAGTGGAACAATTTGTCCTTGATGTCTGACTGATGATCCCAGCAGAACCCATGAGACACCAGCTGCACCTCTGCAAGCCTCACGGAAACAAAGCTACAGAGCACCAGTTCTTCAGTATTTCATGAAGAAATCCAACAAAATATTTACAACCACAGCAAACTGCAGAGCAATGTCACAAAGGCACCTTCTGCTACCCATCTGGCACGTGCTTGTGCCACTACTAGGCTTCTATTTAAAAAGCTAAAAAATGAGAGCAGAAAGAAGGTTTAAACACAACTGTGCTTTATATTTATATTGCTTGTATGAGAGAATTATTTCATGGAATCGGGAAACACTTGTAGCTAAAGACGACATGCAACATGAACACTGTGCTGTGAAGTTAATGCAACCTGCTTCTACATTCTTGATGTCATTATTCTTCTTCATCTTTGCTTAATATGATGTAACGTGTTTAACCACGAGAGCAGCAACGTATCTACACCAAGAGCACGATTAACTCCTAATGTAAAGGACATCGACAGACCAAGTGAAGCTCTAAAACCACGCCAGGAATCAGCGAACCAGACCACGAGCTCCACTACACGGCGCCGAGCTGCAGCCAGGGGTCTCAAACACCCCCCCAGAGGGCTGTCACCGGGATGTCACCCCCACCGGGCACCCCGAGGCCCAACACCGAGCGCCAGGCAGCAC